TCTCTCTCTCTCTCTCTCTCTCTCTCTCTCTCTCTCTCTTTCTTTCTCTCTCTCTCTCTCTCTCTCTCTCTCTCTCGAAGAAGAAGAAGAAGAAGAAGAAGAAGAAGAAGAAGAAGAAAAGGAAAAAGAAGAAGAAAGAGGGAGATGAGATGGAGACGATCTGATTTGATCTGATCACATGCCATGACATCAGTTGTCAGCAGATCTGTTCTGATCTGATCACATGCCATGACATCAGATCACATTGGATGTTATGTGTCCAAACGAAGTGCTGTCAGTCTGTCAGACGTCATGAGATGCCATCAGATGTGATCTGATTAGATGATGGGATGAAATCGCCTTGCATGTGATATGATCAGATAAGATCTGATGACATATCATGAGGTGTGTTTCCCTCCTGGATACGGGAAAAACCAAAATGACAGAGCGAGGTCCTTGTAGCAAACAGGAGAGGATTGAATGTATGTGGGGGACGAGTTCCCTGTAGTAAAGCGGAGAGGATTGAATGCATGTGGACGGCGAGGTTCCTGTTCCAAAGCGAAGAGGATTGAATGCATGAACATGAACGTATTTTTGGATGCATGCAGGAAATGGACATTGTAGTTTGAACATCATTTCCCAATCTCTGCAAAGGACAAATCCAGATTCAACAGCTTCATCCAATCCACATGACCAGTGGAACCTCGCCCCAGTGAGGATTTTAGCTTGACCGTTAGAGTCGGTGTGGACTATAGCTCTAGGGTTACAGTCCGTGGAAAGTATTGTGTATGGGTTGGTGGGGCCACAGACTTATCAGGCAAGGAGGCAGAACGACCAGAAAAGGAATGACAAATAAGTAGTCGGGCTGACCAGAGCTTGACATCGCTGGGGACCACTGACTTATTAGGTCAGTTTCTGGATTATTCCGCAAAATATGCCCCTCCACCCCCCAACGCCCACTGCTGATCTGCATTTTGCGACCTTTCTGCGCCAGCAATCAGCGCCCACTACGAGATGAGAGGGCCCAGCCACATAGAACAGCGCCCGGCATCATTGCCCAGCGCCCAACGTCATAGCTCAGCGCCCACCGAGCTACACCCACCGGCCACCATTCGCTTGAGAGGTAAGCTCTCTCTCCCTCCCTCTCTCTCTCTCTCTCTCTCTCTCTCTCTCTCTCTCTCTCTCTCTCTCTCTCTCTCTCT